GGGGGCACAGAAAATGTTTGGAAACCACTGGGGGGGCGCAGAAGAAAAAGTTTGGGAACCACTGATTTAGGCAATGACAGACTACAAAACTCAAGAGGTAAACCGGTTCTATGGCGATATACACAAAACATACAGAACGCCGTTGATTAGATATCCTTAATTTCTTGATGGGGAAGAGATTTCAGTAAGACAGTATTGCAATGACAATATCGACTACAATCAGTCCACATTTTCAAGTCTATTTTTCTGTCTTTGTTTCCAACACACTTTGTAAGCTCAAGCATCTCTGCCACAAAACATGAAATAAGGGCATTAAAGGTACTAAAAGTTTATCCTACAGGCAAAATATATTATTGACATGGTAGATATCCAACAAAATCTTGCAACCTTTTAGGTATTACCCATATGCCCACCAAATAAGTATAGCAATTTAAATGGGAACATTTTCTTTTTTTGAAACTTCCTCCATTACTAAAGTTGGAACAAATGCATCGATTTAAAATATTTGATGCCCTCGCTACAGTTAGGTCAGTAGTTGATGTTTTTTTTATAGTAAAGAAAACATTGTGTTACTATACACCTCTGCCGTTTCCCCTGGGTTTGTCAGGTATGCTGCTGTGTGATTTTTGTGACTCAGTTGTCTAGGTTGATGTTAATGGATGTAGTGAAATCCGTCTGGTCCAGTCATCAGGAGCTTAATGATTTGCTCTTTTCTTGTCCTCAACCTGGTCTGTCGGGTTACAGATTTGGATCTCTCCATCATGTGTCATCGGACAACAGATAAGGGCTTAGTTTCAGAGCTAGACGGATTTAAAGATAGTATCATGCTTGCGCTTAGAAGTGTAAGCCTTCTGGTTTTCTTAAAGCTTACTTATTTTTGGTTTATGTCCAAGGTTGTTGCCAGGCTCTTTGGCTGGAACTGAGTTTATAAAATAATCTAATTTAATCTGTTTCAACCTAAAACTTTCAGCTACCATCTGTGTCTGTTAGTTTTCCTTAACAGAAACTATGTCTTCTTTTTTTTCAGCTCCTCGAAGGCAGCTTCACTTCCCAAGTCAGCCATGAAGTCGATGGACTGATCTTCCAGCCGTGTGGGGTAAGTCACCATCCATGTTTGGCAGTTTGTCATTTGTCAACACACAAGTTGAATGTCTTTTGCTGATTTTTCTCACTTCGGGGTTCTACATGAGTATCAGACAGCTTGTCATTACCAGCAGCTATTTGTCACTTTCTGCAACAGGACTTGTCCCTATGTCATTGCAGAGTAAAACCACACTCTTACCACCTTCACATACACGGACCTCTATGTGAGACATTAAATCAGAGATATGGAGGTTTGTGTTACGATGGAAGTGGCCTTGACGGAAAGTCTGATTTACTTTGTTTTAGAACAGCAGAAAATCACTTTTATCTCCTGACAGTAATGCTATTGCACTGTTCTTCCACTGCGATGGACCCGGGAGCCTATATTTCTTTGTGCAACACATGAATAAATCTGCATAACATTAGTGAAAGAAGGAGCTGAAGTGAGTTTTTTTGCACATTATCCTCTGTTTTACCTTGATGTTAATCAGCTCTGTACTGTCTCTTCTATACTTTGAATGCTGCAGTAAAGTTCAATTTACATGGTCATTTGCTTCAATCTACGGCAGTTTAATTATGACACTTTATAGGTGAGAGAACATGTAAATCTCTTTTATAAGCTGACATAATTTTCTGAACTCTTAATTGATATATTTGCCAAAGTACCAAAGTCTTCTGAAATCTTTATGGCTTCTTCCAATGTTGCCATTTATAAGATCCATCCATCCATCTATTTATAAATACATGCATACATACATCCATGCATAATATGCTCAAGCTTAGATAAGCTGATCCAACTCCTTCTCTCCAATGATTGCAAAAGGGATTGGTTTGAAACTATTAATATAATATATAATATAATTATATATTAATAAGCATTGATGAGACCCGAACTAGATACCCTCCTCTCCACAACTTCAGACCACCTCAGTAAGTGTGCAATGGCTAAACTGATGCACATTTCCATGGCGAAGCTTTTTTAAATCTTTGATTCAGTCCAGACTTGTGATTAAACTATCCATTGTTAGAAAAAAAGTCTTGACAAAATACTATAAGGACATAAACAGAATAGAAAAATAGTATATCAGAGCATGTGCAAAAGTATACATACGGTTACTATGTTTTCACAGTGTTGAGAAAGTACCTCCTGGGAAAAACTGCTTTAATCAATCAATCAATCAATCAAATTTCATTTGTATAGCACATTTCAGCAGCAAGGCATTTCAAAGTGCTTTACATAATTAAAATAAAATCAGCATGTGAGAAAGAGATTTAAAAAACAATTAAAACGTTTATTGTTAATTAAAATATTTATTGTAATATAAACCTAGCTTAAATCTGAGTTGGTCATTAACAATGAAAATAGGACAAGAAATGTCTCGCGTGAATCAAATCCAGTAGATTTCCAATTAAGCAACCCATACTGTAGGAATAACTGGAGCAATGTATTCAGAGTCTGGACTATTGCTTCTCTGACCAAGGGAATGTCGAACATCTCGACATTGAGTAATCTATAGGACTTTAGCACATTTAGGGAATTTCAATCAGCTCTTTTGATTGAAATTCAACAGATGCTCTTTAGCATTTTTTTTAATTACTGCCCTTATTTGCCTCCCTGGTTTCCCCTGGAATCAGATCATCATTAGATCGTAGCATGATGATTAGCACTGCACTTTCACTTCCTGCTGTTACGTGCCATGGAAAGGATTAAGTAGCAATCAAACAAGCAATTAAAGCTTCTCTGCAGCTTGTGCCATATGGAGACTGTTCACTCATAAGCATAGCTTTCTGAAATGTACTAATAATTATTTAAAAAATGCAGAGCAAGCAAGCTGCATCTTAAATCATACATAACTGTAAGCAGGATAGTTAGGAATACGAGACCTTACACTATTGCCAGAAGGGGTTTCTTGCTTAGAGATTTGAAATTCAGATTAAAAGACATAGAAAGTACGATCTACTAATAGGGGTTTAATAAGATTTTGTGGGCCGCCGCCCGAGATTTCATAATGTAATTATAGCACAGTATTTCTCATCAAAATCTTGGCTGATTTCTTTCTTTTTTTTATAAATGTCACACAAGCAATCTTTGCCTCCAATGTGAATTAACCTACAAGAAACTCACACCTTCCTGAGGTTTTTGTATATAGTCCTTTTCACTGCAGACATGAGTCACATTGAATTATTTTAAAAAATAAAATATACAAGTCCAAGACCGTGGTGTTCTGCACTGTGAAAAGGTGGACTGCACCGTCTCGGTTCAGGGTTAGTCTCTGCCTCAAGCAGAGGAGTTTAAATATCTCGGTGTTGTCTTCACCAGAGATGGGATAAAACGAGAGCTTGACAGACGGATTGGATTTTCATCTGCAGTGATGTGGAGTATGCTCCAGTCTGTCGTGGTGAAGAAAAAGCTTAGCCCAAAAGCAAACCTCTCTCCTTCTTTTAGAGATTTTCCAAGCACATCCCATGGGGACTAGACCCAGGGAAAACCCCAGAACCCACTGGAGGGACTGTATATCTCACCTGGGAACAGATCCCCCCATGAGCTGGAGCGTGTTGCTGGGGTTTCCTCCTGGACCTGTTGCCTCCACAACCTGAGCTCAGATACGCCAAAGACAGAGAACATATAATAACATCTGTGATTTTTAAAGGGATTCATTTCAGATCTAGAAAATGCCAGTGTTTCTTCTCACATTCTGTGGCTGTGCTTCTTGAAATTTCAGGCTGATCTGGTTATGTTACTTATTTTACAACTCAACTCTGTGCGCTTTATTTGGTTTTCAGAGATTTAGTGGGTAATTATCGCTGTCATTTTGGGTTTCACAGCGAGGTAGCAACAGTTCTCGGGAGAGCCGTGCAATGAAAGTTAGCCAAAGCTTGCTTACCCATCTGCATTTTCTGTCCACTATAACAGAGAGACCATCTGCGTTTGCCTTCCCCCAGGCTCTTTAACTAATGCCACAGTCAGGCTCAATATACATCTCAGTTCTGCAATTCCTGATGCTCTGTTGTCAGTTTGGTAAAATATAATGTTTTCCCTCTTTTTACTGCTGCGTTTTGATTAGTTTGTTGTGTCCGTTCCCCCACATGAAGAAAACCAATTAGATTTGGTTCTGTTACTTCCACACTTGATTACATTCTAAAAGTGTACGATTATTGGTGTCTAATTTAGCTGCAAATTGTTTGGCATTATGTCTAAAAGAAAAAGTTTTGGAGAGTGTACAGACTGTTCAATCCTGGGAAGAAAGCAGAATTAGATTTAGAGCAGTACCATGTTGTTTGCCCCTGATGTGATTTTGTGTTGTCCTCTGTAACCTCTCTGAATTTTATAGATCGTAACTAATAGAGCCAGAGACAGGGCTCTCCAAAGAGTGGCAGGCTGTTAAATGTTAGAATGTATGTGTCTGAGCATTTACTAGATCTGCAGTTAAAATGGCAACATCCTCATCAGCATCCCGGTTAGGGATTAGGAATTTGCTGTCAAACAGAGTTTTCGGATTAGCTGCGGCAGCTTTGTTTCAGCGACCTGAAATGATTGCTGTTCGTCAAACGGGAGCGGAACGGGCAAGGGCAACAAGGCAGACATTCTGTCGATGAGAAATCTGATTGCATAGACAGGCCGTTGTTCAGACAAGTCAATTTTGCTGTCAGGTGCCTTTTATCATTCCCCTGATATTATTCTCGACTTTGAATTGGACAGAAGTTCTTTTATCTCACTGCAAGGCTGTGGCTATTTCTCTCTTCATCTGAGAAATTAGTGCTATTTGGCCATTGTTCAGACTCCCCACTAAGAAGTTCATAATCACAATGATTACTGATTAAATCATCATCATTATAAAGTTTCATGCAAACCAAATAAAAAAAGAAAAAAGACAGATGGTTGGGTCTGGACCTGAAAACCCTGAAGGAATAATAATACTGAATAGACCTCTACCTGTAAAATACAGTCATATACAAAAGAAACTTGGCAAATTCAAATATTGAAACTGTGACAATTTTCTAGCAGTTTTTAATTCTTAAACTAATAAAGATAGTAGCTCCTCAAACCACCTTCAGCAGCAGGAACCTGAATTATTTTCTGTATGACTTCATGAAACACGTAGAGATAATTTGGGCTCAATCTTCGTTATAATCATAATTCCTTCATTTCAGTTCACCTCAGCTCTCGTAAGGTCCAACCTCAGCACTTCAGTTCAGTTTAGCTCTGGACTTAGACTTTTTTCTGCACAGAACCAGATTTCTCCTGCCCATTCAGTGATTGAATGGACAGAAGTTCCTCCAAAGTGCTTACATGTAAGTCACGTGCAGTTTAATTTATTTAAATAAATAAATGCCTGCATCACATCTACACACAATTCTATCTACATATCTTAGCACCATTCGTGCTTTAATCAAATCACCAGTGTTTGCATATGAGGGTCTAATCCTTTGAAAAACAGACTTATTTTTATGACTCCTTGTTGAAAGAAATTGCCTTGATATGCCACCTTATGTAAATAAGTGGTTTTTGAATCATTCAGAGCAGTGGGAGCTAGAATATTGATTTTTAGGGAGCTCTTAGTGCTACCCCCTAGTGTGAGCATTTGATGTTCAGCATTTGGCAGCACATTTCTCCTGTGGGGGATTCCAGAGCTCTACAGTGTTGGCCTCTTTTGTAAGATGTGATGTCCGCTGCTTTTGTTTGTTGAGTTTAATCAGTCTTATAGGCCAGAGACACATTGGCTCTCATGCTTTAGTGCTGTCTCATTTTCACATAAGTGTCACCCAGGGGGAAGTGACCACCCACAGATAAACCAATATGCATTTCTGTCATCATACCTGTTGTAGATGTTACCAGTAAAAAATGTTTTAATTTGAATTTAAGCTTTATTCAGAGTACATTTAAAATGTGAGTAACTTGTACATCATCAAGCATTAGATGTTGAATTGCTTAGCAATTTTACAGATAATTAGTGTACATGTGTGGCAAACCATAACATTTTCAGTACTAAAACTTACAGTTTAATCATTGCA